GTCAACATTCCCATTAATTCCAATCACACATCCCATAATTTCCCTTTCACTCTTCTACTGTATAGCACAAAACCCTCCTCCCCTTTGTACCCCTTCAGTCTGTGCTTAAACCTTACAATGTGAATACAGTAAATGCTAATAGCTTTTACAATAATATGACATGCATAGTCCTCTTAAGGCATGATGGGGCCTTTATGTGCAGGTTTAGCGGCTGACAGGTTAGCGGGTTTAGTTAACAGCCAACGTGCCTGCTGGTGCAGTGGGAGGATTTGGGAGGGCTTAGCACAGAGTAGGCCACTGTTGCTTGGAGTGGCATGCGGCGGGCTTGAAAGAATTGCATGCAGGGAAGTTAGGGTTGTAGGGTTTTTCTTTTTTTCAAGTTGTGTTAATATCATTCTTGTTTTAGTGTGAAACAAAGAAGAAAGGATCCCCTTCACACCTGGGATTAACTAGCATGACAGATGATTGGATTGTAATCGGATAGAAGTAAAACAGATCCGAGATTTAATGGATGAATGCAAGAAAGGTGGAGAAGTCGAGGTATTTATAATCTGCATCACATTTAAGATGTGGTCAGCCAAATCTATTTTCTGCAACTGCATTGCATGACGTGGAGTTTCAGGACAGGTGTTAAAGGTTCTGTATGCAACACTTAGAGCATTAATAGCGCAACAAACGGCTATTTGCTATGTAGAGATATAGTGAAGTAAAGGTGTTCTGAGCAAAGAATAAAGTCACGCTACATCTGTGTGTGTTATATTTTGAGCTTCTCTGTGGTTTGATGTAAGCTGGTCTGGCCGTGAATGCATATTATAACATGTGTGTCTCCCAACTCATCGCCAACTCATCATGCACTGGTTACCGCTGATATTGGAATGATGGCATCAAGGATGTGAAGAGCCCACTCTTCCAGTTCCGCCAGATTGACACCGCTAGTTCTGTCAGCAATGTTCCATTGTTAAGCACAGTTCATGGAGGTAGCAACATTAGCTACTAGCCGCCAGCTAAGCCACTTTCATGTTAAGAACCTTGTCCAGACAACTAATACCCTAATATCATATCAAGCCCTTTAAGGCCCTGATATACTGATGGATTCTGACTGGACTATTTATACAACTTTGGGTATCTGCATACAACAATATCGCCAGTCAAGAGTGTCATTATTGGATGATTCTGCAAAACCCAAGATTACATTCAACTGCAAATTTCCACTTTCTGCAATATCTACCACGGCAACTACCAGGGACAAATTCTTGGCCCTATGCATAAACAGTCTCTGTGGGCCCCCTGCCCTTCCTCTCTTGATCCATGTCTCTCTTACGCATTTGATTTTTTTTCCCCTTTCCCTTTGCTTTCTTTGTTTCTTGTATTTTTTGGAACTTTTTCAGAATTTTCCCTTTTTAGGGAAAGACATGGGAGTGTACGGTGGTGCTCCAGCAGCATAAGCAGTCACTCAATCGGCTCTAGCTGCGTTTAGAGACAAATCCTAGTGCAGGGGCAGACTGAACAATTTTGTGCCTTTAAGGGATGAGATCGACCTCAAAGAGCCTCTACTTTTTTTATACAAAATTCAATCTTTCAACCAGTTTTTATGCCACTTTTATTTTAGTTATGGCACTAATAACTTAAGGGGAAACAAAACCAAACTTTTCACTCCAGGATTTTCAAAGGCCCCCTTCCCACTGGGGCCCTGGGTAATCAGTCAATCACTTTCTTCTCCCATTATGACGCCCCTGGCAACTAACATATTAAACTCCTCTCTGGCTAAATGAGACAGAGAAAGACAGGCACTTTTTAACTGCTATAAGTGCTTTTATTTAGTGTTAATAATGTGTGTCTGTCTATGTTTAAAATGTATATGTTAATTTTGTACACAGGTCTGTCTTGAATAGGAGATTCTGTTCAATGAGACTACATGTTTAAAAAACAGATTTCAAAAAAAAAAAAGGCTGGAGAGTCTGTGGTTACGGCTAATGGTCTAGTCACTCCAAGGTGCTCCAAAAGTCACACAATGACACCTACACTATCTCCATAATGATTGAGCAAGGGCAAGCTCCATTTCCTGATGAAGACCTAAGACCACATTTGAAAGCTTTACAAAAAGTACCTTGAGTGAAGCGTATTTTGTCAAAACCCCAGACATGATTGGAGAAGACTTAGAAGAGTAGTAACAGTTGCATTGTATCTGTAGTTGATGCATAGCAACTAATAAGCAAACGTGACATGTACAAAACACCATATCATAATCACTCATTTCTTTTTATTTTATTAATTTAGTAGGGAGATAACAGAATTAAGATACTGATTTACTGCCATAAATGGATTCAAAGTCTATAACCCAGACTTAAATCTACAATGTCATGCTCGCCCTGGATGTGTCTTTGTGAGTTAAACCACGTAGCCTATAAAACATAGTGTAACAAACTTAAAATATACTAAAGATATTGAGAATCGAAGTTTTGGAAATCAGTGAAACCCAATGCAGTAGTTTTAATTATTTGTTTGCCATCACATACATTTTCAGACTCCTGCCAATAACATGCAGCATCTCTGTATGACACTGTATGATACCAAGCATTATAAACCTCTTTTCACTGTGAGATTTCTGAGGGGTATATGTGTGAAGAACCGAGAAGGCTGCTAGTTAGCTAATGTGTGTGTGAAGCAGTGAGAGCGCTGTTCTCATGGGATTGTACCAAAGTGTTGTTTGTTCTTTTACGCCTCCACTGGATAGCCAAAACCAGTGAAGGAGAACCCATAATTCTTTGCTGTAAGCAGTGCCTCTGCACATCCAATTGCATTAGAAGCCTATGGTAGAGGTGGAGGCTACTTGTGCCAAGATTTAACCTGATTAGATACAGATTCAGCCGTTCCAAAAGACGGCACAGGAGCCCTGTACCCATCTCCTTTTTCTATTTCTGGCCTCAGTCTTAGTGCTCACAAATGTGTAGTGATAACAGGGCACAAACACATTTGTCTTGAGCAAGGCACTTTGCCAGTACCACAGTAGCTTTCGCACAAATCCGCCACAAACAGAAAATGTGTATTTCAAATGCACGTGAAAAAGGTCTTATCAGCAGTCTAATGAGACGACGATGGGATCCAATTCCATAGCTGAGTTGTCATTTCTTTCTTTCTCGTTTCTGTTTGTTGTTCTTCCTTTCCCTTTCTCACTTTATGAGCTCTTTGATATCTTCCTCCTCCTTCTCATTCCTCCCCAACCAGCCACCGGGTGTCATTTTCCCAATTTCCTTCTCTCCATTCCTTCCTTTATCCCTCTCTTTCTCACCCTCTCCGTCTCTCCTGCGGTGGTCTTTTTATCGGATCAGTCTCAGGTCGTCGCCTCTGTCTCTCATGTGTTCCATCAAGGATGCATCCCTCAAACACACACACGCACACACACACACACACACACACCCATCCACACACACACACACACACAGGGTCTCCTTCTTCCACCAGAGGTGGAGGAGAAATGAATTAAAGAATATAGAAGTAAAGACAAAAAAGGAGATGAAATTAATTTAAGAAAGGAGAGAGAGAGAATGATGAAGAACAGAAAGACTTTCTCTTTGAGTTAAATTATACACTACAGGCACATCTCTGTGTGTCTGTCTCCTAATTTGTCACTGAGATCCGATGCAGCTTGTTGACATGTGTAGGAGATGTCGGTGCTCATGCTGAGAGCTGTTTGTGTGTCTGGAAGAGTCTCTGTGTGTTTGTGCTTGGAGCTCTTACAACCCCTTTCCCACCTCCCATTTATTACACACACACACACACACACACACACATGGCTTGCCAAGGTTTTGGGTATGTGGGTAAATCTTTTGGCAACATGGCTGCCAGCGTGGAGCTATGATGAATGCTGATGGCAAAGAGCATGGCCGGTCTCTGAACCAGTCACTCACACACACAAATGCACACACACACAAACACTAATCAGATTCCCAGTGCGTGAGGGCCAAATGGCATCCTTCCACTGGTGAATGCTAATGTGACCAGTGGAGCTTGTGGGCTTGTGAAACAAGGATAGGGAGAGCCAGGAGAGATGATGACAACAGAACATAGATGGGATTGTTTATTGGCGTGTGTGATGCTAGAGTGTAAAAATTTGCATTCTTTTACAAATTGCAGCAAGTTGTACTTTGGTTTTAATTTGAGAGTCAGAATTAGATTTGGCTGTGTGTGTGTTTATGTGTCTTGCTGTATAGGTTTTGGCATGTGTCTTCTTCAGTTTTAATTATAACAAATGTCTGTAGAATAATCTTCAAATATGGTGAATTGGGTTGTTCTAACAGTTTTGGTAAAATGTGGTATGAGTATTGGAAGTGTGACACTGAAAATCCTGCACACATTGTGCTTTTAGGAGTGTGTCTTATACATATTGGAGACCATACATCTGTGCAACCACTTGTAATAAACTGAAAGAAATTGCACAATGAGAAATTGTTGTGGTGACTGATGTGGTGTGTTCCTTTATTTCACCACAATGTAATACTGTACAATTTACTTACTTACAACTTAATACTTTGTATTATTGTAAGTGCATATTGGGGATGATTTGTGTTTGCACTAGAAAGACAACAATTACAACAATGTGTAAGTCTATGTAGTTTGAGTGTTGTGTAAATGTGTGCTTATGTGAACACATTATAAAATGTCTTCCAACAGCTTGTCTTCATATAACTTAAAAGCATACTTCCATACAGAGGGGTGACAAATTTGTATGTAAGAACAGGTAGTGGAGAGCACTGTCTAACATGTTGCTCCAAAGTCTTCCAAAGGTGTTTGTTTAATTAGGTTGAGATATGGCAAGTGCAAAGACCATAGGATATGATTCACATTTTTGTCATTCTCTTGAAATCATTTCATGACCCTTTGTGCCCTGTATTGTAATGTTTCCATTTTTACCTATTATTTGTCACCCATCTGCATGCACACTTCGTTGTGGTTCTAGTTTCCCTGAGTACAATGTAGAACATTAATGAATATTTACTCACAGCGCTCTATGCGGTCCTCAGGGCTGGAGGAAGTCTCTCGATCAGACAGGAGGCCTGACACAGCGAAGATCTTTTTCCCACTGTCCTCCACTGCTTTCAAGGCGCTGCTGGGCGAGCCTCCGGGAGGGATCTGGGCACCGCCAAAGTCGTACTCTTTCCCCTCTGCATCAGAGTACCGCAGGTGAGGTGAAGCATCTGCATCCAGGCAGCCTTTGAGGCGCTTGGCTGGGGTGAAAGCAGACTGATACCCGCCTGGTGCTCCGTCCCGATCTTCTGGAGGTGAGGCGAAAGGCCTGAAGGCGCCAACGCCGCTGTGATTCAGCATGCTGATTGGCGAGCAGTCCAGGTTAGGTGGGGCAAACTGATGATGGAGGTGAAGGAGGGACGGAGGGAAATCCCTGTTGGGGAATCCTGGTGGAACTGCACCTTGGCGGTGGTACATTGATGCAAAAGTGTAAGAACCATTGTTGAATGGCAAATGTACGTCTTTCTCAACAGATACTGGGACGCCAAAAGGACGTGGCTGCTGGCAGGGAATTGAGGCATCGCGAGAGGCTTCAGCGGTGGAGGCCAGGACCATGAGGGCCGGGGAGGCCAGGGGATTGGGCAGGTAGGAGGAGCTCTCCATCTTGAAGGCCGCCCTGTGGAGATCCATGTCTGGACAAAAGGAAGAGGTCGTAAGGATTTTAGGAGGAGGAAGAGATGATTCCTCCTCAATAAAATGTGAGCCTGTTCAAGACCCTTGGAGAGGGTCAGAGGAAGTGAGGGAATCTAGGGTGGACACTTAAGGGTTTTGGCTTTTTGAAGAAAGGGGCTCCTAAAAAGGTTTCTAAGGGAGGAGAGTATTCTTTAAGAAATTAAAGGGTGTCAGCAATTGTAAGTTCAGGTTAGCCTGAATTCAATTCATCTCTCCTTAGTGGAGCTAACGTGACTTAATCTGTCTCCAGCCAAATTCACTTGAGCTCAGTTCAGTCCAGATCATTCCGTGCCAGGTAAGTGCCGTTGGGTATGTTCAGTCCTTTACAGACTTCACAGTTTGGACAACTTCAGTCCTGGTGATAAATACAATAAATGGTCAAGATAACATTTGTCCTCCTGGGTAATAAGAAGTAAGAGCCTCCCTCTTGGAGAGTTTGCTGGACGCGTTGTGGAAGCCGAATGGTCCGGGGAGGGGGGGTGGACATCCGCAGATCGTCAAAGCTGGTTCCTCATCGTCATGTGGTCGCCAAACTGAGGAGATACAAAACACAAGCATTAGTTTCAGGAAAACAACTTAACAAGTTTACAATATTTTCCTGAAAAAGGTCATCTTGGCGGTCTAAGCAAGTTGTTGTGATGCAAGTCACAAGAACAGCTCTCTCACCTGTTCTGCCAAGTTTACCATACTATACAAAGTGACCTCTCAACTGAGCTTCACCCTAGCACCCATGTGATGGGAAAAGATAATTACACCTTCCTCCAGATCATTTTTTTAGACGACTTGTGGTTAGATGACACCTGTGCTTTGACAGATTTTCCCCTCACAGATGCTGTGAGGCATCCCTGAAAAGATTTTATCCGTGCCGACTAAAGTGCTTAAAATCAGCTCTTTTAACATCCAAAATAAAAATTCTAATCCCTCTGTGCACCTTTTCACATTTATCTTAGACCTAGTCGTCTTTTCTTAATGATAGGTACTTTCAGAGACGAGAGGTGTGCTGCTTTTTCAGCAGACAAAGATCAATGTCTTGACCTCAATCTGTATGTAGTGGAAAGGCTGGAAGCTGAGTGGAAAATTTTTAATAAAGAAGCGTCTGGAAGCCAAGGCTTGAAGTCAAAACCTTTGGGGACAGAGTGTTCTTAAGCGGACACTGTTGTTGAAGCCACAAATTCAGAAACCTCTTGGGAAAAAGTGTCCTCAAGCTGACACTGTTGATCAAATCCTGTAAATCCCTGCCCTTTGACAAAAAGCCAAGAACTATTTCAAACCTCAAACTTCTCCCCCCCCCCCCCCCCTTTCCTCCTGCTCTTTAAAAAACTTCTCCAAACTGTTTCCACATCACATCTTTCCATTCCGATCTCTACAGCCCTCCACGTCTCATCTCTTTCCAAATGTCCCCTCCTTGTCCTCCATCCTCCTAATCTGTCCATCTCCCCCTCCTCCTCTTCCTCTTCTCTCCATCCTCATCTCCTACTCTCATCTCCCTAGCGCTATCTCTCCTCCCTCCCTCCTCCATCTTAGATCTCAGTCTAAGCCGCTTAGTCCTACCATCTTCCAGGATCTTATTGGACCAGAACCACTTGTCTTAAGATAAGGACACACATGCACGTACACACATTTCAACCACACACACATCTGATAAGAGGCTATGTGGCTCAATGTTCAGCTTGACACCCGACTCGGTGGGGCGAACACACTCCACACTCTTGCAGGCTATGCTACCCTCTTTCCTATCTCTCTATCTAACCACTTTTAATTCCCCAATTTTTACTATCTGTCCTCACTTTCTTTTTACATCTCTCCTGTCAATCTCTTCTCCTCTCATCCCTCCATCTCTCCCTCCCTCCCCCGTCTCTCCCGCCTCTTCTCCCTTGGGTGATTCAGATGGGTGATATCATATCAGACCTCTCCATCTGCCATCCACGAGCCAGAGGAAATCTGACTGAGTGAATAAATTAGCCGTACTTGACCTCACGACCCCCCGGCATCCGTGGCAACAGACTAGAATCCTCCCTCCCAGGGATTAGATTGGAGGGTGCGATTGGCCGGTCAAAGGAACGCAGAGGCAGCCGATGAAACGACAAAATAACATTTCAGAGATTTTTATCCCCAAAGGGCAATCTGAAGGTGGCTGGCATCTTCAGCATGTTAAGTGCCCAATATGCTAAAGATTTAGAGTAGGTGAATATGTGCTTGTCATACATAAGTGATTGTGGGATTTTGTGCAGCATTGTGGATGAAAAAAAAAAAATCAGATCAGCTTACATGCAAATAGGTTATCAGGAGTAATTTTACCTCATTTTATTAAATCAGATAAAATTAAATGCCATTTGATAAAAAAAAAAAAAACAACATTAGTTATATTATCATAAAAGTCACCGCTGCCATCACAAAAATCCAACACCAATGTGACTTGAAAAGGTCAAACGCGTATGTATGTGCACACATACATAAACACACAACAAACACAAACTCACACAGTATCAAGTAGCGGCCCGGCCCGCTCTAGACGAGCTTCAAAGCTGCGTTGACTACCAGCCAACATCAAAGGAGAAACTCCCTGGGAAATGAAAGGAGAAAATCTTTTATAGCTATCAGCTGTCCACAACACTCATTCAAATCAATTTCCAAACCTGATCTCAGCTTTGGCATGCTCCCCCCACCTCCCACACACACACACACACAAAGATACACACACACCAACAACTGCCAAGAGGGAGGAGAGGGCCCAGAGACAGAGAGAGATGAGGAGATGTGAGATGTTTTACATTACCGCAAATGTACAGTAGACTACTGTGGAGTGTTGAGAACGGCTTACGCTAACACGCCTCTCTGGTCTGGACAGATGCCACAGAGTCACATTACACGCCTCTCTTCCTCCTCCTCTACCACCTCCTCTTTTCACCCTCTCTTCCCTACCTACCGCAATCCATCCTGGAAATAGCACCTTGAAAGTGTAGCCATGACAAAAACTCCTGTCTTTCTTTCTCGCCATCCCTTTCTCCGTCTGTCAGCTTACTCCCTCTCCTCTTCTCCCTCTCTCTGTCTTTCTCACTTTCTCGGCTGGCGTCCTCTCTCTGTTCGCACTGTGTATCAGATCACGCTTTCTCCTGTATAACCTCTAAAGTAGGAGTGTGTCTGAGGTGTTGATAGCGAGGTAATACACTGATAAGTACCGGGATATTTCAATTTTATTATCATTACCCAGCAGGCCGAGGGGGCGGCGAGTGAAGGGCCGCCAACGTGAAGCAGCCAATCCAATAAGAGGACACTGGATATTCCCTTACAGGCCACAACGGGAGAGGAGAGTAAAGCAGAGGCTAGGAAACAAGGAGAGGAGCAGGGAGGAAACAAGAGGGGACGAGAGGAAACAAGGGGAAAGGATGGGAGATAAGAAAAGGAGAGGGGAGGAAAGAAGGAGGGGACAGGAGAGAAAATGAAACACGAGAAGAGGAGGGAATATGAGGGGAGAGGAAACAAGAGGAGATGAGAGGAATCAAGAGATGAGATGAAATGAGGAGAAACAACAGAGGAGAGAGATGAGATGAGATGAGATGAGATGAGATGAGATGAGAGGAAACAACAGAGGAGGTGAGAGGAGAGGAAACAAGAAAGGAGATGAGAGAGAGGAGGAAACAAAACAAGATATATGAGGTGAGGAAAGGAGGAAAGAAGAAAAGGAAAGGAGAAAAGGAAAGGAGAGGAGAGGGTGTGATATCAGAGCAAAGGGTACAAATCTCATCTCCCTGGGTGACTTGACACAAGCTGGCTGCCTTCTGGCCTGCTGCTCTTGTGTGCACACATGTGAACACACACACACACACACACACACACGTGTATGTGATGAGGCCTCTGAAAAATGATAGCAGAGAGTCCTTCAGCTGGCTCCCATCGTTTTATTTCTGTATTTGCTTTTGTATGGGTGCTTTCACAGGTAATTTACAATAAATTCCACCTCCACTTGTAATATCGCAGTGAGAGAAGTGCCATAAAGCTTCTAAAAGTCAACCATGTTTTTCACCTTATCTCTAAAACAACAATCATAATTCCAAATGACATGCACCTATGCATATCATCAATATCCAAGTGCAATTACATCTAACGCACACACGCATAATGTCAGTCGGTTGCCACTTACAATCCCATTTGCCACTGAGGGATAGCACCCACACATTGTCTGACACCGGGTATATATGCATTTTATAATAGAAAATGTCACAGGGGAACATTTACCGCGCTGTCATAATTTGATTACAGTGTGCAAGAATGATACAGCTGTCAGCGCGATATTAAATACAAACAGCGAGGACGGCTTTTCACGTCAAATCTGCACTTTAAGTGACAATGTCATGCCAGTCTGCAAAATTGCAGTGTCAACAACAATGTGCTTTAACATCATTCTGAGGGGGAATTTCACTCAGGAAGGGTGGGCTGGGGGGGGGGGGGGGGGGGGGGGGGGGGGGGGGGGGGGGGGGGGGCTGCAGGAGAAGTCACAGATTCTATGTGAAATAATTTGTAAATGTGGTCATAAACATTATTATTATTCTTTAAGAATGATGAGAGGATGTTATTTGCTTGTTGGAGAGCTCAGAGAGAAAAGTTTAGGCATTGAAGACATTTTGTTGGCAGTATTATAGATATAAATATCACTTAAAGAATGGTGATGGCTTCCAAATAAGGTTAATTTGTAACAGTATCAAATGTTTAATCAGTTGCACAGTCTCTGTCTTCCACATGTTTCAGTGATTCCCTTCTTTGGAGGACAGAAACATAAGCAGCTGTGAGTGTCAGGATCAAAAAAGTGAAAGGGAAAATGGGATCCAAATAACTACACTGGTGACAAAGAGCCCCCGTCTTATCGAAGCCTTCCTTTTTGTTGACTGGTTGGAAATAAATATTTTTCTTGCATGGCTGCTTTGAGTGTGTAACCAACGCTTTTGCTGTTCCAACACGGTGCTGAAACTTGTCAGATCGAGTTTTCCAGTGTGTCTGCTGAGTTTTGGAGAGGAACGAAAAGGAATCCAATTTTTGTTATAAAAATGTCTTGTCGACTGTGACTGGTGTGTGTGCGCGCACGTCCGTGTGTGTGTGTGTGTGTGTGTGTGAGACTGCTGAGACTGTCGGGAAGTAAAGCAGCTGAAGTTGATTTTTTCTCTTTTTTTCTAATGGAGACATAGAGAAAAGCAGTCAAAACCGCAGGCCTGTCTAAATGTCTGTGTGTGTGTGTGTGTGTGTGTGTGTGTGTGTGTGTGTGTGTGTGTGTGTGTGTACACTTCCTGGTCCATGGTTATATTTAGAGATTGTTGACAAGCGTGAAAGTGCCACTCTTACATTTTATACATTTTATGCCAGTCTTACATTCTCTCCGCTGAACACACACACAATCACTCACACACACCAGATCAGGTAAAGACAATTTGGAGACGCTGAAGAATAAAACACTCTGAAAAACACAGGATAATATGACATGATGCATCATGGAACTAAATTGACCTAAGTGCATGGAAAACTGTGTAAGTACATGCTTCCA